AGTCTCTGTAGGAGAGCATTGGGTCGTGTCTGTTCAGAGGGTTTTGCACCATACAGCTTTCGCAAATGAAAGTGCACTTGTAGTTCCGTTCAAAGCAATTCGTCTCTGCACGAGCTTTGCCATCGAAGCGTGTGCACAAGTAGGCGGCCCTGGAGGAAACTGTTTTTGGTTTGAAGACGCAAACCCAAAAACTGCATATGACACATTCAACGCTGTGAAGCACCTCCAACCCTGCGCTAAGACTTGTCCCTTGAGTGCTCCCCTCAAAGTCTTTGGGTCAAACTCTTCGTTGGCAAAGCCAGTCATAGGAAAGCGCCCAGCAGCTGCATGTTTCAAAGACCAAGCTAACAGCTTGCTCACCAAGCGGTATACATCCTTTTGCACCTCAACCCCCAAAACACACACACACATGTGCACACACACACACGCGCATCTCTAGGTCTTTCAACCTGTGACTGCATTCACCCCACACAAAATAGACGGGCCTGGATATCTTCGTGCATACAATGGTAAGGCAACACCACAGAAGGAAACTTGATGTCGAAAACCTGAGACCCAGTTTTGTTTGGACAAGGCCTTCACCCAAAAACACAATGCCAGGAAACATCACCGTTTGATAGTATGCTTGACCAGCTCCACACGATGTACTCGCTATCTCTATAGAACTCTGCACCGTCGACGTGAAAGGTTATTGGGATGACTCCTCGAAAGACCAAGACACCCAGAGCTTACCAAAACAAACGCAAGACACAACGCTTTTAGGCTAGCCACTGTCTCTTTCCGTGTCGTTCCGCGAGAAGTCACCACAGAAAGCTGGATGGTCTTCCCATTCGGGAAGCTGGAGACAGTGATCCCACAGATCTTTCGCTGCACCACGGCTTCGCCCGCCAAGCATTGACTTTCCAAACTGGGGCAAATCAAAAACGTGATTTTCTATGAAGGCTGAACCAAACACATGTCTCAGCGTGTTTGCATGGCCTGATCGGGCCCTGATTTCGCCAACGCGTGTAACAATTCATGTGGAAGAATTGTGGGGACCCACACGTCCTCCAACTCAGTGCTGTTGGTGACCTTGGCTTAAAGAGGCTGACCCTGATACTGCCGTATAAAGATGATGCTAAACATCAACATGTTTATTCACTGGGCTTCAAACTCTCACGTGAAGCTTGACCCAATAATGTTCAATCTCGATGCCATACAATTGCCGAAGCCAGCGATGTAAGTCCCTTTCTTCAGACGACGGGTGCTTGCCACAGGAGCCAAGAGATGCAAAAGCTGCGATGGCCAAAGGAGGCTCGAGACCTTGATCTAGAGAGTCCTGCACCTGTGCCTGAGCAATGGAAACGCATGTGTGAATATTGGCTTTGCCATGTCCAATCAATCCTCAGGGGCAAGAGAAGGAGTGAAAAACTAGAAACATGAAGCCTTCTGCAACTTCTTTTTGATAAAAGAGTGCAGCCATGCATCGTAGGAAACTATCAGCTGTTTTGTTATGCCCACAATTCTCAAGACGAGGCCTCCTTTTGAAGGGCCTTGGAAGACACATGGCCGGGTTCAACCGATATGGGATTGAACTGCCAGGCGCCCCTACTTCGAGAACTTCGAGATCGTCTTCGTTTGAAAGCTGTGGCCTGCATCAGGCCAGATGAGGGGCAACAAATGATCAAATGGGAGGTCGCTTGGAGGTCGCTTTGCAATTGAACTCCACTCCAAACATTGTAAACATTTGACTATGGACTGATGGAATTTCTTTTTCGAGATTGGCACCCTGGCTTCACAGAGAGCCTGATGTTTCTAACCAGGGTGGAAAGAGACTCTGTAAGGATCAAGGCAATTTCCCCATTGCCAACCCCTTCCATTGGAAGAGGTTCCAAAAGCTACCAGACTTCTGCATCGAAGCTCACGAGGCGGCCGCGACTTTCTCCTTCTTGGCTGCCTTCTTCTTCGGCGCCTTCTTGTTCAGGCCAGCAAGCAAAGATTTTGCCGCAGCCTGGGATGATGCTGGAGCAGAACTGGTGGCAACATGTTTTTGAAAAGGGGGCCCCTGTCAGTCAGCAAAACAAAAGGATGCCCATTTGTACCAAAGCAACCTTAGCCTTCTCGAGCCATTTCATTTTCTGGTCGGCCTGATCAGCTGCAGAGTCATACTTGGAGTCATCGGTGACTTTGCGCTTCACAAGGTCTGTGTAGTTGGTGAACAGCTTTTCCATTTTCTTGGACTCATCCAGCAACTGCTTTGTCAACTCACCGCCATATTCAACAGCCTGGAGGGAGATACTGAGCTTCCTGGCTTCTCCAGCTTCAGCGAGAAGTGCCTTCATAGTGTCTTTTGCTCTCCTGAGTTTTGCACACCCCAAAAAACTTTCCCATATGGTATCCCGTGTAGAGGGGGAAACAGGAAACCTTAAAAGCTACCATATTGAAAATACAAAGGCAACTGAGAATCTCTTGGGAAGTCTTTGGCTTCACCTCAACCGCCTGTTCGGTGTCCTCCCTTTTCTTGATCCTAGCCTTGGAAACCGTAGAGCCCATAGCCGTCCACACACCCTTGCTTCCATCCGCACCGACCGTTTGGAGGTCTGGCAAAGCTTCAGCCGCAAGAGGAGCGCCCTCCGCTGTCAAGTCGGAGAGGGTTTTGGCATCAGGTTGGGTTTGGGCCTGCAAGGTCATCGCAGTAGATGTCACATCATCTTGGGTGATCCTAGCTCCATCCCCGGCATAGTAGTAGATCTCCTGGGACATGGATGGGGACAAATTCAAAGCGATTTTCAATAGAGATCAATTGGTTTGTTTGGGAAATTAGAACCTGCCCAAACCAATGATGTGGATGTGGATGTCTCCTCCTCATCGTTGGGAAAGTCAGGGTCCCACATGTACATTTGCTTGGAAGCCAGCAATGCACACAACTTGTCCACCTTCTCCGCAGGGTATAGTGCTAGCAGCTCGCGTTTCTTCTTCCCCGTGCGCCCAGCGCGAACCCGGTTGACATGCGCAACCCGACGCTCCATTTGCAGCGCTACCCTTGGGACAGGTCAAATCAAAGGGAGGATCATTTAAGTTGGGGTCAACAACAAGAAAGATTGAGGGGCAACCAAAAAAGTGAACTAGCCTGATTCTCAGGCAAGAAGCTCTTTGAGGTTGTGGCTGTTGTCCAACCAGACTTGAAACAAGTCCAGCTTGTCCCTCTGCAAATGCTCTGATAGGCTGATTGGGAATTTCTTCTTGTTGCCACACTCCCTCGTAAAGACTGCCCACTCTTTGGGCATGGTGACACCTGAGATGACCACGCCCAAACTTTTCCCCCAAAATAACACTCAAAAGAAAACCACCGCTTGAACCAAACAAAAACCTGCACGAGTTTGAAGAAAGCCAGGGGGCTGTTCCTGGCAGGAAGGTCTGCTGCCTCCTTGGCTGCAGCGCTAATCGCTTCCCCCTTCTCTTCAGCCTTGGGATCCTTTTCATCTTCTTCACTCATAGGCTCCCCATCCAGGTCGCCGTCAGATTCACTTTCTTCAGGGATCATCTCAACAGGCGATGATGATGATGGTGATGATGTCGAGTCCCCACATGACTCACCATCACTGCCCTCATCTTCCTCATCCTCCTCTTGTGCTTCCTCCGCCTCCTCCTCCTCCTGCTCGCCACTGCCCTCCTCCTCTTCATCTTCCTCTTCTTCACCCCCCTCACCTTCTTCCCATTCTTCTTCATCACCATCCTCCAACGAGAGCAGAAAATCATCCAGCTCTTTGGGGGTCATTGCACCCAGATCAAGGTCCTCTTTCTTTTTTGTCTTTTGTGCTTCCTTCGGCTCTTCTGCTTCCTTCGCCTTCTTTTCCTTCTCTTTGGCAGCCTGCGCTTCCTTCGCCTTCTTTTTCTTCTCTTTGGCAGCCTGCAACTCTTC